TCTACAATGGCAGAGATCATTATCATTGTATATCCAGCACCTAGAATCATCTATCCAAGAAGTACTTTTTGAATGAATCTGTGGACTCACAGATACTGAATGAATAAAGGCACAAGCTTCCTGTTCTGTTTGTCTAGTGGTGATGACTGGTAGCCCTGAGCCACTCATGCTGTCCTCCAGAAATCCTCCATCCACCATCACCAGCCCACCCAGTGAGACTCTGTACAGCTAACTCCCACACAGAGGCTTAACCCACGACTCAATCAATACGTGGTTTTTGGAAAGGTGCATGCCCAGGGTTTCTCTGAATAACTGCTATCCTTGACCTCTGGCATGCAAATATTCTTCCTCTTCTTTCCCCTGTCCCTCAAACAAACCCAGTTACCACATGGAGTGCCTGGTGTGCTATTTGGGAAACATCTGTGTCCAGTTGGGATGGGGTACACTACCTACTTCACTGATTCAGAGTTTAGCCAAGGGAAGTGACACAGAAGCCTGTGAATGCAATGTGAGCAAAGCCTTTAAATGTGCTTCTTCTGTATGCTTCCTGGCCTCGGCTCTTGGGACCCACCCTGAGAAGAGGAGGCTCAGTGAGCCACTGCCCTTCTGTGTGAGTCCACAGCCCAGAATTCAACCAGCATATGAGTGCTTTATCACCACCACCCCTAGAGTCTCCAGCTTAGACAGTCCACTCTCACCACAGCACCCCTTCTGTCTACATGTTCCTCTGCTTTATTCCCACTGAGCTGATTCCCCACCCCACTGGGACCTCCAGTCCCTATCTCCCTCTATCAGGATCTTTGTGGTTTCATGCACTTCCCCACCTGGGGCTCTGGTGAGGCCTGCCTTCATCAACTCTTGGATCAACCAAACAGCTAGTGTTATTCACCTCGGTGTCCACACTGCTCAAGAGTATCACACAACTGTCCTAACGACTGGCACCTACATAGGGCTCTGGAGATTGCTGGTTCTTACCTAACTTGGCCTACCTTGCCTTGACCCATTACCAATGGTGACTTTCCTTGCTCCTCTTCCAAGAAGAAGGAAGAAGAGGAGAGGGGAGGAGAGGAAAGGGGAGGGGAAGGGAAGGGAAGAGAGAGAAGGAGAGGCGAGCAGAGGGGAGAGGAGGAGAGGACAGGACAGGACAGGAGAGGATCACATAGATCACGCAGACTAGTTTCCCTAGGATTTACCCCTCAGTGTGTGACCTTGGGCATGTTGCTTCACTTTTCTGAGCCTCAGTTTCATCCTCTATAACATGGGAATACAGGTTTCATAGAGCCATTGCATCAACAAAATATGGCATTACACATAAGCTACTTAGCATAGCTCCTACCATCCAATGACTAACAGCTAGAGATGTGTGACCCATGAAAAAGTCGTGCCCTCTGGTCTCAGCCTACAACAGAGTAGGAAACTCCTTTTCCTTTTACTCTCACCTTGGTTCTTGCTTTCACTCCATCTTGTCTTCAACTTTTTTGCTCATCCCCCATCCTCTCCTTCTACTGACACTTTCTTTCATCTGTTTACAAACCTATGTACAGTGTTCTCATCTCAGTCTATATTTTTCCACAACTCTGTTTACTATTACCAGGCACCAGTGGCTCACGACTGTAATCTTAGCTACTTAGGAGGCAGAGAGGGATCAGGAGGATTGCAGTTTGAAGCTAGCCCAAGTAAATAGTTCAAGAGACCCTATCTCTAAAATTCCCAACACCAAAAATACCCTCTACCCTGGTGGAGGGGCTCAAATGGTAGACTGGCTGCCTAGCAAGCATGAGGCTGCGAGTTCAAATCCCAGTACTGCCAAAAAGAAAAAAACTTCTATTAACTCTTATTATCAACTATCACCTCCCATCCCTGCTTAATTATTTAAAGTGCTCTTTTAAATTATTTTAAAAGTTGTCTCTGCTATCTCCATGTCTTCTCCCTTCAAATCTTTCTCCTACATGCATGTATGCAACCCCTATTGCCAAGGTCACCAGTCAACTGCTAAATGTCAAATTCAGAAAACTCCTTGCTATCCTCATGCCTCTTGACCTTATTTGGAAACACCTTCCCCCTCCCTCCAGCTTCCAAACCCTGCTCCTTCTTGGTTCCTCTCTCACTTCTTGGACTATTCTCTTACCTCCTCCCTGGTTTTTCCTTATTTCCCTTCGATGCTGGTTGTACCTTCCTGCCCTTGGTTCTCTGCTCACCTTATGCTTCTAAGTCTCCCCAATGGATCTCAGCTAACAACCTTACGTACATCTTAAGTCTCCGACATTCTCTTGGGCTCCAGGAACCTATTTGCAAATTCTATAGGGTCTCTTACAGATGTTCAAATCCCCACATAACTCCCAGTCTCTTCCTACCAACCTTTTCTCTTTTATTATTCACTTAGCAGCACCCACTTCCACACAGTTGCCCGGAATAGGAATCTGAAAAGTAAACCCTTGAGATTCCTCACTCCTCTTTCAGCATATCATTGAGTCCTGTCACTTTGTCCTTTAAGCTTCTCTTACCTCTTGCCACCTTTCTCCACTCCTGAACTGCTGAAATAATGTTCCTAACTACTGCCTTTAGACATGGTCTTGACTTCACGCCAACAGACCCTCCATTTTCTGTTAGAATTATCTGTTATATGTCACTTCCTGTTGAAACCATCAATGCTCACCACCCATCATCCTAAGAATGAAGTCCAAAGTCTGAGTTCGGGCACATTCAACCCTAGCTTTCTAGGCCCACTGCCTAACATCATCACGTTGATATGTTACTCGTGGGGTGCCACACACTTTCCTGAAGACACCCTGCTTTTTCCCAGCCTGAATATTCCCAGTCTGTTCCCCCTCCCTCAAGTATCATCCTGTTCTCCCAACACCTGAGCAAAGGCATAACTCAAACATCAACTCCTGCCAGACACATCCCCTATCCCTGACTCCCGGTAATTAGTTATTCTCAGAGCACTCAGTCCAAGCCTAGTTCACAATTTTTCCTTGGCTTCCCACTGCACCTGATTAACATCTAAACTCTTTACCTAACTTACCTACCAACAAGGTCATACACAATTGGACCCCTGCCTACCACTTCAACCCATCACATTCTCCTACCCAACTCATGCATAGAGAGAAAGGGCGATCTTCCATATGATCCAAAGCAGGAGAAAAACCCAAAGTTATCTCATATACTCCAAAGGCCAACATGAAATCTAATGTGTGCATTGTAGCTAAGTCTTTCTTAAACTATTATGGAAACTAGATTCGTTGTTGGGCCTCTTATCAACTCAGCAATTAAGGAGCATATAGAAAAATAATGATATACTGAATTAATTGAGCTTTTATTGTCACCAAACAGAGAACTAAATGCTTCCCATGCACTGATCTCATTTAATTCTTAAATATTAAGTAGGTAGCATGATTTCACCACTATTAGCAAGGTTAACTGAATTGTACAATGTCACAAGTAGTAACAGACAAAGTCATTACCTAATCCCAGGTCTGTGTTTAGCAGGTACAGACATTGCAGAGGCTGTGTTCTGATCATCATGCCAAAAGGTCTCACCAAAGCCCAGCATTAAATCTTGCAATGAACCTACCTGGAACATAATGTCTTAAGGCCAAAATTAAATTTCTTAGAAACCACCTAAAATGGTATCAAAGTTTTAAGTTTGCAATGTCTCTTTAAAAGTTATACATATTCTGGAATTCTGGGTTCACCCTGAAGTGTTGACAAACCCCTTCTCCACTAGGAAAGTTAAACAACTCCACTATGGACAGTATACCTCATCCTCTGCCCTAGGCTCTTGACACCTGTGACATTTTACTGCAGGTTGGATCAGGCAGAGAATACCAATGACACTCCAAACTACATCTCTGTAAACTGGGAATAGCATTAAGAGAAGTAAAATTACTCAGGGGCTAAGCGAGGTGGCTCACATCTGTAATCCCAGCTACTTGGAAGGCAGATACCTGGACAACATGTTAGTGAGGCCCATCTCAATGAAACAAGCTGGACGCGATGGTCCCAGCTACTGTGAGAAGTGTAGGTAGGAGGATGGAGGTCTGTAACATACCCAGGGCAAACACTGAAGACCCTATCTGAATAGTAACTAAAGCAGAAAAGGCTGGGGTTGTGACTCGAGTGGTAGAATGCATGCCTTGCAAACTTAAGGCCCTGAGTTCAAACCCCAGTACTGCCAAAAAATTACTCAGGCCATAACATCATCTTAACTACTTTTTTTTTTTCTTTTTTGGTGGTGGTGGCACTGGGGATTGAACTCAAGGCTTTGCACTTGTTAGGCAGGCATCCTACCACTTGAGCCACAATCCAGTCCCCTAACTGCTTCTGATTCCAATAAGAAGCATATAAAATAAGCTTAATGAAATCACAGCAATGTGAACACTGCTCCAAATACAAATGCTCCGAGGGATACTTGCCAACTGGGGACCTGCAGAGTGGAATCTTAGACCGAACGAGGGAGAGGCTAGATTTCTACTCTATTTTCAAAGAATTATGAAAATTCAGAGGGAAACTAAGCAAGATTAAGTAATTCTTTGAGATCAAGTACTTTTCAGAAAGAATCCCTTTCCTGGGACAAATGGCATGCTAGCAATTTGCTATGAGTTACAGGAATTTACTCAGGATTTGAGAAATTTATCAACACGAATTCACATTTGAGACATTTTTGAAGCCTTCATCACTGTTTGCTGACCAATGTCACCATGCATCTAGAATGGACATGAGATATGCTGTGAGCAGAATGCCTTGGCTTCACTTAGGAGAAAGGCAAGCTTGAAGGTCAGCTAGAAATCTCCTGGGGCCAACAGTTCCAAACAGATGTCCAGAGTCCACACCCAGCTGCTAGAAACACATCTTTGTTTTTACAGTCTTACCTAAAAAGCCCTTGGCCCAGGCTTTTCAAAACTCAGATTCCAATGAGATAAGTGTGTGTCCTGGTAAATTGAGCCCCTAAGGCAGCATGCAGGAGAGATGGATGGAACTTGGGGCACTCTGCTACTTACGCATGCAGTCCCCTCCATACCAGCCAGCTCTGCATTCAGCACAGTAGAAGCCTTTCACGTAGAAGTCATCCAGAGTGCCCCCCCAAGAGCCGTTCCGGCAGCTCTTGCAGTTTTCAAAGATGGTGCAACCTGAAACATTGCCAAGAAGGATGTCAGTCTCCACACTTGCAGGTTCCAGTGGTTTTCATGGGCAGCAAACTGTGCCCCTTCTCAGAGCCCTCTCTCAGCCAAGGGCCTGTGGATCCTAGATGGATGCCAGAGCCCTAAAGAAAACTGTTCATCGCAGGGTAAGTGCTAGAGTCACCATGATTCAGACAAGGAGGTCAGGACACTGGTCTAACCATCTTCCCAATTAGTGGTTGGTGTTTTAAAGTAACATGAAATAATCTCTAGTGAAAGGCAGACTTGGTCAATAAGGTGTTATTTTTCCCCCTTTATAGGTGTATTTCATGTTTATTGTAAAGTATTAAGAAAATTCAGACAAACAAAAAGAATTCAATAAAAAAAACCCAAATTATTATAACTTAGAGAATTCAACTGCTAACATTCTCTCTCTACATAGATACATAGATAGATAAATAGACAGTAGATAGATATAGATGTGTGTATATTCATATCTATATGTATGTATGTATATATATATATATATATCCTTCATTTTTAAAATTAGGCTTATACTCTGTTTTGCACATTCTCTTTTTATAACTCCTTTTTATTTAATAAGTGATAGTAAATACTGTTCTATGAAGTGCTCATCTGTGTCATATCCCTCTATAACCAAATTATGCCATTGGAAACAACAGTAATGCCTAACAAGAGGCTGGAAAGCGTCTGCCAACCCCCAACCAACAAGCCACACAAGGGAGAGTTAGGCGATGCTCAGGTCTGGGTTGTTATAAAACATGGCCACTTGAGGGGTTGGGGGACAAGTAAGAAAAGATGGAAATAATTATTTCCCACTTATCAAAACAGAGACCTGAGCTCTGACTCTGCCATTGTCCAGCTGAGTGTCTTTGGATCAATTACTTAAAGTCTCTCTTCCTTAGGTCCCTCATCTGTCAAACCAGGATTAAAATTGTACCTGCCTCTTAGTCCCATGCCCCAAACAGGAGCTATTGTTTTCCCATACTCCATCAGGCTTATCCCTTCCATTGTATATATCACACTTAATTTTAATGGCTTATTACCTATTTTCCTATTACTGATTCAAGTCAAGGAATCTATATTGCTCAACATTATATCTTCAGCACACAATATGGGGTAGGCCACCTCGTAAGTGTTCTGTAAATATTATTTGAGTGAATAGATAACCAGCCTTTCCTTGAACTTATAGTTTGCTTCTTTGCTTTTCACCAAAAATAGGCTTTTATTGGCCTATAGTGAGTGTGTGTATTTGTGTGTGTGTGTGTGTGTGTGTGTGTGTGTGTCTATAAAAGAAAGATTCATAGCCCTACTGCCACACCACTACTGACTTGGCTTTCCCCCCTTAGATTGGATGAGCTGCTAATATGATTCACCCAGTAGGTCAGTCCAATAACTGTGTCCCATAACTGAGTCCCAATGGTGTCACCATGGCTTCCAAAGGCCACCCTCCCTCCCAATTTCCTCCTTAATTCCTTCTCCTCTGTGCCACTGAGGATACAAGTGGAGTCAGAGCTTGCCCTAAAAGGCCCTGCAAACTCTTTTTCTTAATACAGTTAGTTTAGGGTCCTTACGTTCAAGCCCCTAAAACCAGCCTGGTGATTAAGATGTGAAAAAAGAATAGTGACATATTGCCAGAGGGTCAGGGGACCAGTTTCAGGGCTCCACAGCCTAGAACCACAGGACACCACAGTGGCCTATTGAGGGCCTCAGTGCTGCTGGATGCTATTAGAATCCACCCTTGACATGTCTGCCATCAATGTCTCAGACCTTGATCATCCTGTACCACTGGCACCAGCAGAGATGAGCATCATCTGTCATGATAGAAATGCACACTCAGATACTATTTTCCACCTGTGAGGTTGGCAAAAATCCAAAATGATACATTCGGTTGCAACCCATGATAAAACAGCACCATTGTACACTTCTGGAGTGAAGGTCAAATATATAGAAATAATTGACAAAGGTTGGTAAACAACATATGCACTTCTCTTGGAATCACTGATCTCAATTTTGGGAATATATCTCAAAGAGACACTGCAAAAATACTAAAGGAGGTATACCTAGTTAAGAGTATTCAGTGTAATGCTGTTTGTATGGGTTGACAATCCATAATCCAAAAATCTGGCTCAAAATCTGAAAGTTTTTATACACCAACATGACATCACAAGTGGAAAATTCCATGATTGACCTCATATGACAGATAACAGCCAAAACCCAGGCACTCCAAAAATAATGTGGAAACTACCTCAAGCTATGTGTTTAAGGCATCCTATGAAACAAATGAATTTCGTGTTTAAACTTAGGTGCCATCTCCAAGACACCTTATTATGTATATGTGATATTACAAAATCCAAAAACACCTAAAATCCTAACTACTTCTGGTCTCAAGCATTTCAAATAGGGGATATTCAACTTATAATAGCAAATGGCTGGGAACAACCCAAATTTTCCTAAACTACGGTAGTCCACACAGTGCAGATATGTGGAACCATAAAAAGAAATGAAGAAGATAGCTTTGCACTGATCACCAGCATGCACTGTTAAGAGATAAATGCAAGATATTAACAATGTTTACGGTGTTTATATTTTACGTAAGATGGGGAAAGTAAATAAATGCATAAAGACATTTGCTTACATTTTTAGTTATAGAAAACAATAAACCTATGTATCAGATCAGTGGCAAAACACCAGAGAAAACCCCTATACCAACTGATTTCAAAATGTAGTATTTTGACTGCACATGTCTGGTGGGATATATTCTAAGGTCAACAGTAAACACAGAGAAATCAAAACCATATTCAGTGTTCTCAGCGGCACTACTGGTGCCATGGTTCTGTTGCACATTTGTATTATGTCATAATACAAGATAAGGCAAATAAGTGATTAAGCTAATATTAATAGGGAATAGGTTTTCACCGAGAGAAAAACCAAAGAAGTAAATAAATTTCTACTATTACATTTGAACTTGAATATCAGCATGGACTCATTTTTTTTCCTGTTAAGTGCATGGTGGCTCACACCTGCAATCCCAGCATTTGGAAGGCAGAAGCAGGACGATCACAAATACAAGGCCAGCCTGGGCTACCTAGTGAGATCCTGTCACAAAAAATCAAAGGCTAAGCCCAATGCAGTAGCTCACAGATGTAATCCCAACTATGCAGGAGGTGTAGGTAGGATGATCACAGCCCCAGGCAGGCCTGGGAAATACATGGGAGCACCTGCCTAAAAAATAAACTAAGGCAAAAAGTGGTAGAGTACTTGCCTACCAAGTGTGAGGCCTTGATTTCAAACTCCAGTACCAATTTAAAAAAATGGGCTGGGGGGGGCTGGGGATGTAACTGGGTGGTAGAGCACTTGCCTAGTACACACAAAGCCCTAGATGTTAAATCTACAGCACTACCACAAATATATACACATATATAATATATATATATGTACAATATATATTTGTGTGTGAATGAGAGAGAGAGAGAGACTCTATCCACAGGAAATAAACAACAAATAATTCCACCACCTAGAAATAATAGTATTCTAGAACACCCCAAGTGCACAAATTGTGGTCTCAGGGCCAGAGTTCCTTGAAGAAATGGCTTATTTCAGATTCAGGACAGACAATCTATAAGACATCTGAAACACCTTGTCATGGGAGAAATCCAGGAAGCCTTCAAAACCTAGAATGTTTATGTCAGAAGGACAAGAAGGACATAAAGATGTTCCCAGTGTCCTAAGATGGAATGATGTATGTGTTAAAATGAGTAATGACTGACACTGATTAAACTATACCCATAAATAAAAGAGCAGCTCATAACAGCACACACAGAAGCCTTTGGATCACCAATGGTAGCTGCTAGGGCATCAACTCACTATTCTAAAAATGAGTTTCAAAAATAGTCTTTATCTTTTCTCTTGCTTTTCCTTTCAAAGTATCCAAATGCTAGTATAGCATTTCATTCCTGAGAGCCAGTGATTATTTCTGGCATCCCTGAAGGTGACATTGCAGATGCTGGGTGTCTCCTGTAGGATGCAATAGGAACCATATAGCACCATCGATGCAATCTGGCCCAACAGATGACTGACTGACCCCAGGTCATCTCATAATATCAGAGTCCACTCTGTAGTTGCCCAATAGTAACCATCAGACTTTTGAAAATGTCACAAATTATTCAAACCACTGCCAAGGACCCCTAGTGGAGAGACTCTGGCGTTCCTCATGAATTTTCCAAGAAAATTTGGAAGCATTACTCATAAACCACTTCCCTACAAACTACACTTACCCATCAGGAAATGAGGACGGTGCTTTCTTTCCAGGACTGAAATATGCAAAAACTATAGTATCGTGGTCGCCTTCTTAAAGCTCAGTGTTACCCTCTTCCAGGAAGATGGATTAGAGCATTGCTTGAAGACTTGAGCCCACATTCTTTCCTCTTTCATAACCTCCCATGAAAAAAAAAAGAAAATTCCTGGTAGTAGGGGACATCCCTCTCTGTGTTTGAAAAGAAGGGGCAATGTGGAATTGAGAGGAATTTCCAAAGCACACTTTTGGTATCCTTTCATTCTTCAGTCCTCAGAATGCTCATTTGAAAATCTCTATGTCCCCCCTTGTGACCTGGCCTAGAGGGGAAAGGTAAGAGTCCTGGGAGAAGGCAGAAGTATAAGGTGACAGTACTGCCTTGCCTCTCAAGTGCTAAGGAAGGTTCAAAACTGACTTTCCAGTCACATTGGAAGCATTGGGAGTCATAGTATGACTCCCAGGGTCTATGTTGACCTGGTTTTCAAATCTGCAGTCATCTAAACGAACATGGTCATCTCCTCTGTGTGCGTGATGGGGAGCAGGGAACAGGAGAGTGAAGGTACTACAGAAGAAGTCAAGGAAAACACCCTCCTGTGGCTGGGACCACCTCCCAGACCTCTTCTCAATGCCAGAGCATTATCCTTGCCAGCTCCAACTCCCTTCTCTTCGCTGTCCTTATCCATCCAGCAAGTCCCAAAGTGTGGTCAGTTCTACTCTCTACTGACAAATCCCTCCAGCTTTCTTATCCACTGGCTTTTTATGTTCATTAAGGTCCCCATTATTTCTCTCCTGCCTCCAGCTATGCCCCTCCCCATTCCTTTCCCCCACTGCAGCTAAAGAGAAAATCAGCTCCTATCTCTTTACAATGCTACCAAAATATCTTCAGGAAACAGTCTAAAATTCATAGCAAGACATACAAAACTCTTGTGGGTCTGGTCTGTGTTCCTTCCTTTAGCTTGCTCTCTCTTAATCTCCTCTTGCTATCTGTCTGTCTCCCTTTCTCCATGTCACTTACCACATTCATACTTCTGCCAGACTGAGCTACCTGTAATTCTTGAAACCTCATGCTTTCTCTGCCACCGGGCCTTGGCATATGCTATCTTCTATGGCTGGACTCCTTCCTACACTGTATCTCCGACACTCTTTTCAGTTTTTTGCCTCCATCTTAGCACACATTTCACCTCCTCTAATAATTCTTCATTGATCTTTCCTTTACTTCACCCTGTTCCCATCCATGTTGCCAAGATACCCCATGTGTCATTATCATAGCACGTACTATGCACTTCTGTAGCACCATATTGTAACTTCCTGTTCTCCATCTCTCCCACCAGGCTAAAGGCTCTGGGAATGCTGGGAAGTTTTCTTTAAATCACTGACATGGTTCATGAGAAGTTGCTGCTCAGTCTGCTTGTAAAATGAATAGGTGAGCAGATGAACTCACAGATTTACAACTTGAACGTTGAAGGGAGTGGGAACTTCTCTAATTCCTTCGCCTGTAGTTAGAACGGGCTGAGTCGTGTCTCTTTTAATAATCATAGCACCACAGCCTCCTGAAGGATGCCTGCTATAACTCAAGCGTCCATATTCCAGTTCATTACACCAGACAACATGAAGGCGACCTGAGGCATCCCCTGCACACTTACCTGGGTGAATCAGGCAGGAGTCACACTCATTGTCCTCATTCCTGCAGCAGGGGATGGTGTAGCCCACAACTTCCTTCTTCCCGGGGCAGACACACTCAATCTGGTCGTATTCACAACACTCTCTACACATGATGTTCCACTCAGCACCAGGACAGGCTTCATTAATGACTGTGTATTCTGCAATGGAAACTCAGTGGGTGAGGACAGGCCCTGGCAGGAAGAGGTAAGACCCATCAGCACTACCATTAGGATGCAACACTGCCTGCAAATGTGTTGCCCCACCTGAGAGAGAGAGAAGCCCTGTGTTAATTCTCCAGAGTGCAATGGCCTACCCAGGGTTGTTCAAAACCACCCATTGGAGCTCAGAAGAAATGTTAGAACTGTTATTTACCTCATTTTTATCTTTAAAAAAAGTCATGTTTCATTAATACATAATCTCAGTGGACTGAGAGTAGAATATATGTATGTTTTATAAACCAATTAACATTTCTTGGGTGTACGTGTTTTTTCTTCTATTTTGTTGTGGTTGTTTTGCGTGCTATATTTTAAAATGAGGGCCTCGTGCATACCCAGCAAGTGCTGTACTACTGAGCTACACCCCCAGCCCTTATTTCGATTTTTTGGCAGGATATTCCAGGTCACTGTTGACAACTGCATACATCATACATTGTATAACTCCAAAGAAAACCATTTAACTGCACAACTATGCAGTGCTGTGCAACTCAGTCATAGGGCCATCAAAACAATTTGGAGACCACTCTCTAGACTGAGCCATTCAAGTGCAAAGCTGATTGCCAAGTACAGACTACGTCATTGCTCCCAAACTTGGCTCCTTAATTTTGCAGCGTGACATTTTCATAGTATCTTCAAAGCTAAAACCAACAGAAAAGACAAAAAGTACCTCAATTAGTATGTTTGGGAGAATTTCAGTGTTTTACAAGGGTGAACTCATTAGCCCAACTTTATTCAGTGCCCAAGTACAACTGAGTGTTCTTTCCCATGAGAAAAAAAAAAAAGTGTCCTTTTCTGGGTAGGAATTTTTTTCCTTCCTTTTTTAAGTCTTTTTTTTTTAACATATACCTTAAGTAACAAGAAAACCATCTGGCAAAATCTATAAGAAGAATCAGTCAGAGGCTGCAACACAGGAACTCATGCTAAAAAACAGACCTGCTAGCTTTTATTTGCTCTTCTTTTTCACTTTTTCCATTTCTAAAAATTTTCACAAAGTTAAAGCAGAAGTGGATAGATGTTTGAGGAAGAAAGTGAGTCCAGATGAGGTCCCATGACGCCTTCCCTAGAAACTGCAGGCAGGTATCCCCCATGTGGTTTATGGACCCATAAAAACCAGCCCCAGCATTTGTGGTAGCTTCTAACCCCTTGAACTTCTAGTGTAGTTTTCTATCTTTCTCCCCCAAAACTGGAGTTCTGATACAGGGTTGAGCACTCTTAACTTGCCAAGTAGTTTCACTCAGTCTCTGGTCATTAGGACCTTCCAGGTTGATGGAAATGAACCTCTTGATATTAAGGGACACTTTGTTAAATTGGGTAGTTTTGCGTTAAGAAAAATGGGCTTTCTTTCACCATTTTGCACAAATATTTGTGGGCAGCAAAGATCCTCACATTGACTTTAGGCTGGCATAGTCATCACAGCATTGTTACTGCTGAGGTTTTTGTGTCAACTTCTGCCATGTGAGGTCCTTCAGAGAGCCCCCTGGGACTGATTCAGCTGAGTTTCCCATGTGTCCACAGTTAGCTGATGAATGACTGACTTCTAAAGTCTAGATGAGAATTAAATGGTTAAAAGCGAGGAAAAGCAGGATAAAACATGGGGTAAGTCTCCATGATTCTGGATTTGCCGATAGATTTTTAAATATGGCACTGAAAATATGAGCATCAAGAAAAGAATAGATAAATTGGACCACATCAAAATTAAAATTATTTTAGCATCAAAGTACATTAGCAAGAAAGTGAAACCAGAGCAATAGTTCACATCTATAATTCCAGCTACTCAGGAGGTGGAGACAGGAGGATCAAGGTTTGAGGCCAACTTGGCAAAAGTTAGGGAGACCCTGAACATCAAAAATATTCCAGGCATGATCTCGGCTACTTAGGAGGCAGAATTAAGAAAATCACTGTCTGAGGCTGGTCCCAGCAAAAGTGTGAGACCCTATTTGAAAAATAAACTGAAAGCCAATGGGCTGGGGGTGCAAGGGTAGTAAGATTGCCTAGCAAGTGTAAGACCTTGAGTTCAAACTCCAAATTACCTTCTGATAAAGGTTTTAGATAAAGAGCATATTTAAAAAAAAAAAAAAAACCTCAACCACAACGAGGCAAATAAACCAATTAAATAGAGCAACCCAACCCAGCAATTCCACTCCTAGGTATATCTAACAAAACTAAAAACAGGAACTCCACATTACTTGTGTGCCAATGTTCAACTACAGTAACCAAAAGGTGAACACCACCCAAGTGTTCCTTGGGAGATGACTGGACACACAAGTTAAGGTACATGTATAGAATGGAATATTATTCAACCACGATGAGGAACGTTAGGGCACGCCACAACAACAGAGACAAACCTTCAAAACACTATGCCCAGGACAAGAAGCCAGCCACAAAGGGGCAAATATTGTCTCATTCTGCTTACATGAAATATCTATAATAAAGCATATTGACAGAAACAGAGAGCAGATTAGAATTTACCAAGAGCTGGGAGGAAATGGTGAAGAGGGAGTTACTGCTTGATACTTACAAAGTTGCTGTTTGGGGTGATGAAAAGTTTTGGAAACAGATAGATGTGATAGTTGCACAGCTGTGTGAACATGAATAATGCCTTAAAATCAATAAAATCACAAGTTCTGTGTTTCCTCTATGTGTGCATGTGTGTATGTGTGTATATGTGTGTATAACCACAATTTTTAGTGTTAAAAAGGTGGAGTGGGAAAAATGAGAAAAAGCAAAATGGCTAAAGGCTCTAGCACTGGAGTCAGACAGACCTGGATTTGGAATCCCTTCCCTGCTACTTACTGGGTGAATGACTTTGGCTAAACTAGCGACTCTCTCAACCTCACCTTGCTGTCCAGCAAAGTGAGTTCATTTTATCCAACTCGGCCTTTTAAAAGCATTAAATAAGATAATGTATGTGAGGAACCGAACTCAGTGCCAACTATATAATAAGCATCCAATAACAGCTTGAAAAGAAACACAGTAGAGAAACTCCACATTTCTCAATCTTATTTTTTTTAAATGTCTACAATCTTGGTTTCTTGTTTAAAATGGTCAAGTTGTTCACACTGCACTTGGAATAAACTTCGAGTGCTCTGCATAGTTCCCGGGGCCTTGGAGAACCCTTTTCATGGCCAGTTTCCCATCTCTTCTTGAAGCCACCACGCTCTTGCCCACCTTCACACTTGCTTTTCCCATAGCCCCTGACTCAGCTGTTAGGTCTCAGTGTGAATCACACCTGTTCAGAGGGGGCCTCCCTGACCTTCTCATCAGAATCACACACCTCACATATGCTAGGCATGGCATTGATCACAGTGTCCTATTTGCTGTCTTTTAGCTCTTGTCACAATTCAGGATTGTTTTCTGGTTGCATTTACAGTCAGCCCTTCATATCTGCAGGTTCCACATCCACAGATTCAACCACCTTCAGATCAAAAACAGTTTTTAAAAACATTGTACTGAACATGTATAAACTACTCCTTATCGTTATTTCCTGAACAATACAGTAGAACACCTATTCAAGAGCACTTATGTTGCACGAGATATTAGCAATCTAGAGATGATTTCGAGTGCAAGGGAGAATGTGCAGAGGTTGTATGCAAACACTACGCCATGTTATATAAGGGAGTTGAGTGTCCACAGATTTTCATATCCACATCAGGGGGTCTGGAACCGATTCCCTGTGGTTGCCAAGAAGCAGCTGCACCTGCTTCTTTCCTGTCTCCCCTATATGACCATAAGCCAGTAGGAATGACAGGTAACTTACTCGCAGCTGCTAGGCCAGGGCCTGGCACACAAGAAGAGCTAAATAAATTATTTGTTGAATGAATCTGGTCATAACTCTAGAGCTACCTTCCCTTCGGGAGTCAAATATTTCCATCCATTGGATCCAGCGTAGAACTATGAGCCAGGAGAGCTGGCTGTGCTCCTAATTGGCAGAGGCACTTTTCTTCCCATGGGTAAGTGCTTAGGCCTGTTGGTCCAGGATACCTGCCACAGGCCCATACTCAGCCTCTCCACCCTCTGCCTTATGTTTTATTCATGCTGTGACCAGAAAATATGCCTGAAGAGTGTGACTTGTGTCTCATCCCTCTCCCTCTATTCACTCTGGGGCAAGAACTACTCTTTCAAGTTTTCTAAGAATTTACAAAGACTCAGCTTTGTAGTGTGAGAGGGGATCACACTATATAAAACTCATTCGTAATTTTTGTTAAGACTTTGTATTTCAGTGTAGAAGGCCAGGTACAGTTTGCTCTATTCTTGTAGCTGGCAAAGCCTATTCCTCCCCAAGTGCAGGTCTATTTACCTTGACTTGTCTATAGAATATGGAAGAAGGGGAACCTCCCTTTTGGGAAAGAATTAATTCCCTGAAATACTTTCTTGACACATGTCTTTTCTTCAGTAAGCCAGTCCACCTCTGCCCCCTTGTGCCTTTTCTAACTTTATAGGTAAAGTCTATCTCAGTCTCAGGGAATGATCCCAGGGAAGCCTGGCAGAAGGGATTTTTCAGGTGTGTTTATTTAAGAATAAAGTATGTTATATGCATTTATAGAAATACCCAATTTAACTGCCCACTTTGTATAATTAATATAGACACTAACAGCCAGGCATGATGGCTCATCCTATAGTCCCAGGTATTCCGGAGGCAGAGGTCAGGAGACTAGAAGTTTGAGGCCAGGCTGGGAAAAATATTAGCAAGACCCCACCTCAACAAATAAGCCAGGAATGGTGGCATGCCTGTGATCCCAGGTGTGTAGGATTCTGGTCCAAAGTCTACCCTAGGTATAAATGTGAGACCCCACCTGGAAAATAACTAAAGCAAGAAAGGCTGCGAAGCTTGGGGCAAGTAGTAACACAGCTGCCTAGAAAGCACAGGACCCTGAGTTCAAATCTCAGTGCTGCACTAAGAATGGGGCTGGGATGTAGCTCACTTGAAACGTGCTTGTCTAGTA